GCCAAGTTCTACACCTCAGCCACAAGATCCATCTTTCTGATACGTCAAAGGGTGGGGCTGCCATCCACAGGGGTCTGGATAGGCTGGACAAGGACCCTACAGGGCTGGACAAAGACCCTATAGAGCTGTGACAGGTCCTACAGCTGCAGAGGAACAACCCCAGTTGTTAGCTGGGGCTAACTGGCTGGAAAGGAGCTTTGCAGAAAACAACTTGGTGGATGCCAAGTTGTCATGCAAAGGTTTAACCTTGTCATGCAAAAATATTTAACCTTGCAGCAATGGTTAAATATATCCTGRGCTGCGTTGGGAGAAGTGTTTCCTACAGGTCAAGGGAGGAGATCCTTCCCATTTCTGAAGTACTGATGAGGCCACTCTGGARTGCTSTGTCCAGTTCTGGCCTCCCAAGCACAAGAGAGACATGGRCATACTAGAAAKAGTCCACTGAAGGGCCATGAAGATGATTAAAGGACTYGAGCATCTCTCCTGTGAGGAAAGGCTGATGGWGCTGGAGCTGTTTAGCCCCAGGAACAGAAGGTTCAGAGAGTCTCTTACCCACTTAAGTAAATATATAAAGGAAAAGTGCAAAGTGAGTGGTGCCAGCCTCTTTTCAGTGGTACCCAATAACAAGATAAGAAGCAAAGAGTTCAATCTGAAGCAGGAGTTTCCTTTTGAGTATGAACAAACACTTTTCAACTTTGTAGGTGACAGCACGAGTGCAGGGTGCTCAGAAAACATGTGGAGTCTCCCTCCTCAAAGGTATTATAAAACTGCCCCGAGTCATGGGCCTGGGCAATTGTAGGTGACCCTGCTTGAGCAGTGGGGTTAGACTGGATCACYTCAAAAGGTCTCTTCCAACYTCAACCATTCTCTGGTTCTGTATTTTGTTTCTAGGCTTTCATAGGCAGTGAATCCAGTGACAGACCAAATGGAGGCTCTATCAATAGAGTGTGTTGTTTGAGCAGCCACTTACTGATCATRTCAAATAAAATAATTGCTCAAGTCTTGAGCATAAATGGAAACCTTAAACAGAAAAAATATGCAGTGTGTGGCTGTGGGGCTGCTGATTTTAGTCTGGTTAAGGATGTTATTACTTTAGATTTGTGCAGTGGAATGAGTTCATCTCACACCTAATGGACATTAAAGGTATCTTAAAACTGTAAATTTGCATCTCAGTTCCAGATAACACTCTCTCTGGTGTTCTCAGACTTATATATGGTACTAGAAAATTCAGCAGTCTGTTAACTTTTCCTCCAYCTTTAAAGAACATTGTAAGAAACACTCTGATTGCTTATATTATATTTTGTATATAAGATGCCAGCCTCTCAAGTCAGCAGAAACATGAAATTTTACAGGTAAAAAATCAATAATCTAGTTTAATTGTTAGATTGTTTAATTGATACATCAATTTTTTTTATACACCATAAATAAAAAACTGAAGCCTTGACTTCTACAAAGACAAACCAACCTTTGTCAAATGGATGCTGTTTATATTACTGTACCATATACCTAAGTAAAAACATGCTCTAAATGAATTTTTTTCACATCAGCAGTGTCCCATATCCAGAGTGTGTGGCTCAGCCCTCTTTSTATTCTATATGGACATCTGCTTCTTCAGTTTTAGGGCTATTTCACACTTGCAGTATATCCATTTAGAATTAAAGGCAATTAAGGTCCATGAATTTCAAACTGTTGTTATGATCATACTGGCTACACAATACATATTTGMAGCAGTTTGATTAAATGTGTTTACAAAGGATGTGATGAGCTATTGCAGGTTTACAGTTTTAGACATGCTGGAGGTAAAGCAGCATTTTGTTGTGTTCCAATATGCTAAAAATTGTTATAAGTGGATATTTCTTATCATAGCATTATGGTGATAGCCACAAGTAAGCATGTGTGAAATCCCACTTAACAAAATCAGTGCAACCCAAAGAACTGCCTTTTGATTTTGGGTACAGCAAATTCTGTTCAACATTATCATCACAATGCAAATGAGTTTGGAGCTCCTTGACCACACTGGTGTGGTGGAAAAAAAACWATTAAAATCCAGGGATTTCTGAGGAGCTCTGAAATGGATGGTGGCTCCGCACTATTATCCCTCCCCCTTTATCAACCACTTCCTCATGGCTGGAGGTCTGCAACACAAGTATTTGACAGCTGTTCAAACTATACAGAACCCCCAAAGTTTCAATTGTAAAATAAAGCAAAAAGATTTTGAAGCCAGAAATTGGGAGCAGAAGCTAAAATTCACTGCTGCTTTTCATTCTGCCTTAGTCTCTGAAATTTCTTTTTAAAGCAAGTAGCTTAAATTTCGGGGCATGGTATTTAGTCAACCCAAAATATTTTGCCTCAGCTCCCTTGATTTTCAAGCCCTTGTGGTTGAACTCTGAGTCTCTGTGTTTAGCTTGTACTTTTTTTTGTGGTTTAATATGTTTTCTTCCTGATATATTTGAGGCATCTCTGTGCTGAGGCGTCTCATCTGAAAGAGGCTGACAGCATATGATGGCAGAGAAGTATCCTTTGATGAGAAAATGCAAATCCCAAGCAAAACATTTGCAGAACCACTAATCACCATTTCCATACAATTGAGCAATGATATAGTATTTATTATAGAATGACTCAAAGGTAAGGCAGGCTCCTCATGAGAAATCCCACAAATAACTTCATGTGCACCCCCTCCACTCGTTTCTGCAAAGGGTAATTTTTRCCTCATTGCAATCAGTGTCAGGACTCCCTCAGTGTTCAGTGGAACTGAGGTTTGATCTCTTTGGTCCAAGGAATGACTTGTGAATAGTTTGAGGGGTTGCATAGTATAACAAGAAACTGTGTTGGCAAATATTGTCAAAAGGAGTTTGTAGATTTGGAAGGTGTGGTGCCTGGGTCTGATATTCAGAGATGCTCGGTAACCCCAGCTGTAGTTTAATTTTCGTGGTTGTGAATTCAGCCTCGTGAAATGAGGGAACTAGCAATGCAAAAGGACCCAAAACCTTGGAGAGTTTGAAAAGTATTAGTCTTAATTAGATTTATTAGATTTTACTTTCACTTTACTGTTGCAATTATGGCTACTTCATTTATTATTTTTCACAGTGCAGGTTGATAAAGAAAAATATATATCTATGAGCTTGTTTTTTTTTTTTTTACATGCTTTCCTTATTTAGTTCAATTCATACTGTTTTAATTCTGAACCTTAATATAAAGCTGTGGATATTGTAATTACATTTAATTATAATGAGCATGGGTTTAAAAAACCCTGATTAGTCAGGCTTGGGGTAAAAAAGCCCGCATCATTATGGTGGGTCTAAAATCTGATATTCCATGTTAGATCTTGTTTATTTCTACTAGAGCTTGGCTAGGAGAATGAATTCAAGCCAAGATTCAAATTTGGCATTTTTCTRTATCTAGAAGAACCTATAACACCCAGATATTCAAGAGTGAATGCCTTAGGCACACTTCCATTTCTGATTTGGATTCACAAAGGTTGAAGAAAATATTTAAGCAAAATATCATTTTACTTATCTGCCTTACAAAAATCAGACAAGGAAGCTAAGATGGAAAAAGCCGAAGGTCCTCTTTATCAGTGGGAAACAAAGTAGCTTCATTGTAGGGTATATGTGGAGTGCTAGGAGAAGACTTTAGCTGTTCTGGATCTACTAGCCTGCAGTGTCTTGTCTCCCTTGTAAACAGAAGATTGCATTGTGTTCAAAATTTCTAAGCTAATAATTATGCTTTATTTATCAAATCAGACAGAGACTGAGTCATTTGATTTAACAAAATTTAAGGTGTGATGGATCTCATTGTGGTGTAGATCAGCAAAAATAGGTCAGATGATTCATCTTTAAATGCTTGTTTTTCTTCTTTAACTTAAAAAAAAAAAATCCCAAATTGACTAGCTCAGTTTTAGACATCTGCACTCCAGGGGATTAAAATAAAATGAAATCTACCCAAATTATTCACAGTTTGGTCCCAGCTGGATAAAATAGGCTGTAATATGTTTGATCTGGTTCAGTCTTGATCTTTACAGGTCATGTAGCTGAAACTCTGGTTTGTTCTGAAAAGCGAATTGCCATCCTTAAGCTTTTGGGGTATRTTTCTGCTAAGGGCATATCTGCAGGTGAGCGGTGTGTTCGTAGCTGGGCTCACATGTTGGCACAGACCTACCTAAAGCACTTAGTTCAATAGAAACACTGTCCTTCCAGTTTTGTTCCCCTTCTGACCACCACTGGCCAGTGGATCAACTCTCTCAAAGATTTTGCAGCCAGCAAAAGCAGGAGGTGTCTGTCAGAGACCATGACCAAGGGAAGAAATGGATGAGACACKGAGGTGTCTCCAAGATAAAACATCCCAAGAGAAGGATGGGAAGGAGCCAAAGGGAAGCTTTGGTTCTTTCTTCCTTTTGCTCTGTAGGAAAGTAATTCAGGAAAGTTTAATGCTAAACTGGAAAGTTTAATGCTGTTTAACTACTTGTGCCTTGTGTTCAAGAAATGCTGCATCTGTTGCCATGCCAATCATATAAGCAGATCTTTCTGTAGGTCAAGTGGCTCTACGTTATTAATGTGAACGTATCTGAAAAAAGGCAAATACTGAGAACATTAAATAAAGTTCAGGTGCATATGTTTTATTAGGAACAGAAAAGGTGTAGGAATCTTTGAATGTGGTGAAGAGATTATTTTCTTGGGCTTTGTGTTTTGCTGRTTTATTCCTTTTGATTTTGAAATTCCTTTTTATTTCTTTCCTTCAATTTCAGACCAATTCTTTAACTTAAATTTGTTATCTTGCACTGTCTCAGGGAAAAAGCTGAAACTGCTCCTACAGTTTTCTAGTTTAGTCCTCTTTATAACCTCATTTCCAGAGTTAATATGACTTCCAATATTTGACCATGAGTTCAATTTTTTTTTATCAAACCCTGTTTTGTAGTATCTTTTYGCAGTTCCTAAGCTTGCTATTGTTGCCTTGATTATGTATTTTGTAAAGAATTGAATTTCTTGGAATTAAGCTGATTCTTGATTTYATCAATAATAAGTCTYCATCAAGTTAGGTTTATTTTTAAACTCAATCTGACTAGTTTAACAAGAAATTAAATGTATTCAGTCCCTGAGGTTATGAATGTGCTTTTAATTTGCTTCCAAAGTTGCTACTAAGTTACTTCAGCATTTTCAATGAGACACTACTTCCAAGGATCTGGCAGAGGAGATGGATATTGCTTGTTAGMACTGGTGTAATTAACCTGTAGCCATTTCTGGTGTCTTCTGTAGCTTTGTACCAAAAATAWCCAGTTGGATCCCCCTTTGGTTCTCCTCCAGTGTCTGCTGCCCTTCTGTGTTTCTTCTTGACTGCACAGCTTGGATCCATGCAGCCTTCCTGCCATCAAACACTGTGCTGTTCCAGTGGAGCATATATTAGTTCTCTGGTTCTTCCTCTTAATCTTTGTGTCTGTAGGTGAGGAAGAGGATTTATGAAATTATTTATGTTGGCATTTAGAAATCTTAACTCTCTCCCCTACTTTATTTTGGGATATAACTTAAGCAGCCCCCAAGTTTTAAAAGGGGATGAAGTTAAAAACAAGGTTCCATGACCTAACTGGGTTATGCATATTTTGAAATTGTCTAAGGGGAACTAAGAGTTTTCTAAGGGTTATAGTTCTTTCAGCAATGGAAAGAGTAATTTTATGACAAATGCTATTATACTTTGAAGGTAGAGGGAAGAGGTGAAAGTGAAGCCACTGCTTGTGCTAAAAATTGAAAGTCACCCTATCAGTACTCTTTACTTTCAGAGTAAAACTGACAAATCTGAAAGATCTAGTTCAAATGTTTGCCACTGACTATCAGGCATTTGTTTCCAAAGCTGGCACCAGTTTTCATTCTCCTGCCTTCTCAGTGATTGATCTGTTTCTTTCTGGTTTTCTTTCAGAGAACTTAATTGCATGATGTTTTTTCAAAAACAAACACATCAAAATGTCACAACATTAGCATAATCATAAAAMTGTCAAGCATTCAGTGCATTTGCAATATGTCAGAGCTTACTAGAGAACATATATTTTCATGCGATTAATGCGAGTCTCTGGATCGTGCCTTTGAATGGGCATCTCTTAAAAAGGTGACTAGTGGCTGCTACAGATTATTCCCATTAGGAAAAAGGATAWTTTTTCCCTAAAGTAGAATAAAATTGGTCCTTAAAAGCAACAGATTCTAAAGCAATAGACAGATGTAAAARGTCATCTAAGAAAAGGAAAYGTTTACTGACAGAATCATAGAATCATAGAAGTKTGGATGCAAAGAGATCATCTATCTCCARCCTCCCTGTCATGGGCAAGGACATATTCCACACACCACATTGCCCAAAACCCCATAAAACCTGGCCTGATGCTGTGKTTGTGTTCTGTGCAGATTTTTGTGTTGATCTCCACCTGCAAGAACCTGGAAACCTGGATCACAGATTTCAGTGCATGCCCTAATCTGGATGCACGTTTGTATTATGGGTTATATTGTTTTTTAAATACAGGTAGTTGACTAATGCTGTATATTTAAGATGACAAGTTAAGTTAAAAAGCATCTGGTACATGYTAATAAATACGCTTTTAAAATTGCWTCTAAACTTGCACAGACTTTGTTGCAGTAGAMTGATTTTGGGCAGTAATGTAATGGAAGGATTTGGGACTRTGAATCTCAATTGTAARAATGGAAATATGAAAAATGGGAGCTTCAGATACACATTGTAAAGCAACTATTATAATTTCCTGTGCAGAGTGCCTTCTTTTTTTTTGGCTGTTACAGAGAGAAATAACTACAAAATACAAGTAAATACTTTAAAATCTGGACATAGGAACCCTATTTATTGTCAGTGCAGTAATTTGATTCCCAACGTCCTCTTCTGGACTGTGTCCAGAGGTCTTCAGTTGGTTTGTGAAAACTGCCTTCATTAAGCTCTTGACTGCACTTGGTGAGACTCTTATCTCAAAAGATTCCTTGGCATTGTTTTTTCCGTGCATGGAAAGCCACAGACACAATCTGCAGTGTCCTGGTATGAGCACAGGAGAGGAAAGCAAGCCTGCTGTGAGCAGGGGATCTCCTCCTCCTTACAGCCTCTGAACCTCCTAATAGGTTTTTCTGAGGAGTATCCTGTGTTGTCACAGGACATTTCTCTCTTAATGTCTTGGTTCAGATGGGCAGATRTTTGCCTTTTGCACATTGCACTTGTGAGAAATACAGTGGACTATAAATTGGTCAAACAGCAGGCAAAATGTATCCCACTGGTAACTTTCTSCCTCTAAATATGTTTGTGGAGAGCAAAAGCCTTGTAAAGCCCTCCATTTATGYTAAGGACAGAGTCATTACAGGTAGCTTTTCCAAAGGTCTCCTCCCTTTAAAGAATAAAAATTAAGTCTCCCTGCTTGGYTCACCCTTGTGCTCTGTAATGCACCCACAGCAGTGCCAGCTGGTGCTGCTGAGGTGGTACCAGGATCCCTGGATCTGGGCAGCAAAAGGGTCACTTCAGCAGAAACTGCCACAGGGCCCCCAGGGGATAAATACCACAGGGTAGGAACTGGCAATGAATGGCTGGATCTGCATCCTTTGACTGCTCTTCTGACCTGTTCTGTCTCGAGAGAGTATTTTGATGTTGCTTTCTCCTTTTTTTTCCCCCTCCAGATAACTTTCTGAACCTTACAGAATGTTTGATGTTCTTTGACAGAGGGAGTGTGTAACTGCATGTCCCTCTCCAGCAGCAGAAAGGAGGTRACAGTGGCTTCAGTCTGTGAACTGACTGTGAGTGAAAGGGAGAGATGTGCCCACACCCACATGGACCTGCTGCAGCGAAGAGGACATTTTGCTCATTCCTTCATTTCTCCTCATTCTTCTGTGGCCTAGAAAATTTGACTTCCTCTTCTCCAGTGTCTGAGCACCTGTATCCTTTCTTGGTCTACTTGGTCTCAATTCGTAATCCCTGAATTGATGATGTGATTCTGTCAGAGATGTCAGAGATATGGATTTGGCAGTGGTAAGCACTGATAATAAAACAGTTGCAAGTCAGGTTTGTAATCCATCTGCTGGACATCCAGATGCCAAGGATGGATTTAAATATACATGTGAATACTTCAGAAAACATTCCACAGAACTGTGCTATAGRAATAACTTCCTTCAAAATTCTGAAATTTTGAACAAAACACTGAAATGTTTGCAATTGCCTGTGTAATATGTACTTTTTACATTAAACTCTGCTCTGTGCTRGTTTTCAACATGTAAGAACAGGTCCTGCCTTTCCCTTGGGATGTGATAAGCTAGCAGCAGAGAAGCAGCACTTGCCTGCAGAGCAGTAAGTCCAGTAGAAATAATCAGGATTTGGGTATTGAAAAGCAGAAAACAATAGGTATGCGTGTAAAAAACATTGGGAGCTTTCTGAATTATTTTCAGGTGCCTTTTAAAATCCATCTATAAAGATGAAAACAATGTCAGATTTTTCCAAAGTCTCTTTTTGAAATGAGTTTTGAAGGCAGTTTTCCAGGTGATGTACATTTTCCATTCAGCAGCCCATGTGATGCCATGCAAAATTCCTGTCCTGCYGCTGCTCAAGGCAATTTAAGATTTGACAGTAATGTTGTGAAGACGGCAGCAAAATATTTCAGGTGTGCAGTCAGACCTCTGGATCCATCCCTGTCACGTGGAACTGAGTACAGMTGCAGGAGCATGGAGCAGAGGAGAACAGTCTCTGCACTGCCAGGAGCATTTTCTGGCGTGATGTGGAGATGCCCCACGGGAATTGCTGCCTCTGAAGTCGGTAGTGGGGCTGTTGGGGTGTGAAGTGTGTAACAAAGGGTCAGCCACAGCTCCTCTGCTCTGCAGGTTGAGGCAGGGCAGCTCACGAATCTGTCTTATTCTTTCTCTTGTGGATGAGAATKGCAAAGGGAGTTGTCTTGTTGCACTGCCAGCACAACAGTCACGTTCTCCCCCTGAATTTGTAGACTTGCACCTAAACATCTCCAATGTGCTCAATGATCCGTTATCCAGAACGGAGTTTTCACGTTATGTGTGCAGCTGGTTCATGCTGCCTTCTTGTTTCTGCCCCCTAGGAGACCAGTGGATTTCATTCCTTAGCTAACATTGTTTACCTTCAGAGACCACACATGTCTTTGCATGATGACCTCATGTAAAGCTGGTAACTTTTGCATGTCAGGAATGAAAAGGAAAAGTAGAAACAAAATGGGAAGCATGGTAAGGTGTCAAGGAAAGGGAAACAAAATGGTGCGATCCAGAATGTTACATCTCTTTGGGGTGACTTCGCTGAGATACAGATTGAAGGGACAGATCTTTTTACTATTATTCCTCAGAATCTAAAGAGAAGAAATTTGCTTTGCTGGAGGCCACTTCTTCCTGAGTGCATTCATATACAAGTGGTTTGTTTCAGTGCACAGGGACACATTCTGCAGTATTAAAATCAGTGGGAATGTTGCTACTGAAAATAGGAAAAGCATTTTATCTCTGTTTCTCGTAACTGACGTCACAAGATCTTAGAAAGGGTTTTACTGCTCTTAAAAACAATSTCAACCTTGTTTTATTGCTGGTGCCTAATGCCTTCATTCTAAGTGGCATTTCACCATGCTGATACCCAGGATGCTGTGCCTTGTGAATTCAGGGAGAAAGTTACACCCTGGAAAGGTGTACGAAAACAGCACTTAGAAAGAAACAAGTAATTAAGAGATCTGGATAGAGGAGGGCGCATCAAAAATAACAATTTAACAAAGTAGGTGTCTGAGAACAAGAAACAGGAACTGGGAAGGTGAGGGTTCAGGTGAACTTGTAGCCGAGAACGGTCGTGGTTATACTGGATCCTCAACTTGTTGCACTCTCAGCTGCTCTTTCCTCCCTGGAGTCTTTCCAGGGCAGATGGTGCAGCTGAGGCTGCATGGCCTGAGGCAGAGTGTTGGAGCAGCAGCATGTTGTTAGCTGGCTTAGCAAAAATTGTCTTTTTTTCTTTCTCAGTCCATGTAGCATAAGCTGAGGGCTGACTCTGATTTACTGTTTTCCTGTGGTTGAATCCAGGGAGAAGTGGGCTGTAATAATGGCAGCAGATTGTATATTTTCTTGTCTTTGGATGGTTTGGGAGCAGGTCAGTGATAGCAGTGGTTTTCAGAGCAATGGGGATTACCTGTCTGTTATATCTCCCTTTTCCCACCTACTCCACTCCCCAAGCTGAATTACGTTTTTTGAAACAGTTGGGATTTCTTGCACAAGTTAACTTGCTAGAACCTGTGCAAACTGGGTTCTTGCTGTTCCACTGGGTCACTGTCAAGTCTATGCACAGCCACAGTTTTCCAGTTTCTTTCCAAACATCTGATTCCAAGCTGGCTGAATCTAGATCTCCAGGAGGTTGGTATTCCCCCCCATAATATTTCTGTGCACCCTCATTTACTGGATCATTCTGAAGACCAACAGCAGAAGCTCTCACTCAGTAGGTGATGGCTGCAAATTCCTGAAGTGGGGAAGAGGGCTCTGAAAGTCTTATCCCAAACCTGGATTTTTCTCTGTATTTGATTTTTTTCATAGTTCTGTTTTATTTATTTGTTGCCCTGAAACCTTCACATCTTCTCTTAAAGTTATTTTCAATTTAGGTCTTCAGTAGAGAGTAGTAATTTTAGATGAGTCGTTATACTTTTTTTTTTTTCCTCATAACACCTACCAAATACAAAGCACTTTTCTACAGGATATTGCTCATTTGGATTMCACCTYTTTTCCTTTTTTAGGAGTGTTAAAATGATGTCACTGAATTTGAACAGCAGCAAACCTGAGGCCCAAGCAGARAAATATGCAGTCTTTCTCGAGACATGTTGAGACATCCCCTTGCAGCTGTAATGGGTTATCAGCACAACATCTCCACCCTTTCACCAGATGCAACTTTGTCTTCAGACTTCAGCTRTATATCATCTGATCTCAGCTGGTGTCAAAAGACCCAGGAGCTCTCTGCCTGTCTGCTGGGAACGTTGATCCACTCACCACAACTATGTACAAGATGTGAAGCCTTTCCTTTCCTTGCGCTCTCTTTCTCTCTCTCTTAAAAAAAAAAAAAAAAAAAAAAAAAAAAAAGCAAGCTGTCAGTATTTCAGAAAGTGTGAGGTGTGAGCAGCAGATCTTTGTGTACTTTAATCCATAAATAAACATTTCTTCTTTTGAACTTCATTAAAATTGGATGTGTTTTCACTGTAAAACACTTCAGCACCCCTATCATTTAGACATATATGGTGATGAATATTGCAATTAAGTTTTGTCTGTAGGAATAATTGTGGTCTGGAAATACTCAATTTATGCCAAAAAAGTAAATAAGAATCAGACTACAAGATATACTGCTTATAACAGTAATTTAAGAACAAGATATTAAACTATGCTCCCGCTGTTTTTAACAGGCTGGGCCATACACATCTTTGTTTTTGTGACCAAGCTTGCAGGGAAGTTGTGGAGAGGTGAGTTTGATTTGACTTCAGCACAATTATATCTGACTTTCTTCTGGTAAGACTTGTTGATGTATCACATTCAAATCTCCAGCTTTGCCTTCTCTGCATTTGACCTGAAGAAAGGAATTCCTGCTTTAAAATGCTCATCAATCAGTGCTGCGCRGTTAAGCTGATAACAAAGCTAAGGCTAAGCCAGTGCTAATTTAGCCAACTGTTACATTACTGACAATATTTGTCAGCAAATGATTTTAATTAGACCAGCATAAGGAGATAAGTAGGCTAAAACTAAGCAAATGACTAAAACTAAMGAGGGATTCTGATGACAAACAAGTCCTGATGAGAGTAAGAATGATTTTTTTTCTTTTTRCCACCAATGTCTGAGTAGCACGTGGGAACGGAGAGACGGCACTAATCACATGAGAAATCGCCTTAAAATGATGCTGCTGYGCTGGAATGCTGAGTCGGTGTCAGGAAGGCTCGCAGGGTTTGAGCAAGTGCTGTGTAAACTTCCTGGGGAGCCTTGCATGCCGGTGACACGGTGACATGGTGACACTGTCCCCCTGCCCCGGCCGGGCTCCTTTGTGCCCTGCCTTTGGTGCCTTGCCTGGAACAGCACAGGGAAACCTTGTGTAAGGGTAAAGTGAAGAGGCAGCAGCACTTGGGCTGCGAGGTGATACAGGGGAAGGGTGTGGAAAAGGACCTACTGAAATTTGTGGCYGTAATTAAGAACAGGTAGGGGGAAAAAATGGGATGAGAAGGCAGGAAAAAATGTGGTATTTCTTTCAGGAAAGAAGTAAGAATGGAGAGGCAAAAAGAAAAGCATTGTTTTGTGTTTGAACATGGAAAAAACAAGTTCGGGGTGCATAACCTGCTGCTCTACTCATCTCTTTCTCTCCCTACATAGCTTCTTTGTTCTGATTTCTCGTGGAGTATTCCTGCTCCTGTGTTATTTCCCCCTGCCTGCCCAGGGTCTTCCTGAGACCTGCTGGCAGAGGGAGGTTTTCACAGCCTGACGTGTTGATTCTGAGAAGTGTGAAGGAAACAGAGCCGTGCTGGATGATGTGACTCACCTTGGAGAGGTTGCTGTTTTCCGGCTGAGGGAAAGTGTGAAGTTTCAGCTTTGCTAGTCCAGATGTTTTAATGGAAATTGCTGCAGTAAGAGAAACCCTGGCCTGCGTGTCTTGCTCAGTCCTGAACAGGAGAATAACAAATTACATACTAACATAAATCTTTAATGATTTATGATAAAAAAACCAAATTAGATGGCGAGCAAAATACTAGGTTAATTGACTATGGGTTCCTAAGTTCCCCAAAAGGTAGCATTCCAGCCAAATATGGCTGAAATATCAGCTGTCATATGATGAATATTTTAAAGAAGATTCTATTATACACCTAGGGGTTGATTCGCTCCAGTAATGAGGACAGTTACCTCTAGGGAAAGGAAGCTCTATTATGCTTGCCACTTAACCAGGGGCTGGTTTGACAGGCATCAGCTCAGAATATATGTGTATATATAGGGAATCACAGCAGCTTGTCTCAAGCTTACTGAGCAGGAAATGTTGTGCTGTACAATACTCTGGGTTTCTATCTATGGATTTGTGGATGGCACTGAGTGGGATTCAGACTATTTTTATTCCTGAATCTGATTGTTGAGGTGGAATCCATCACCTACTAAATATTAAATCAGCAGGTTTTTTAAAGAGCAACACTGTCTCTGCTGACTTGAATATCCTTATGTGGCCCAGAGGAAAAGAGAAACAAAGACAAGATGAGAAAACTATCATCTTTGGCATTCTTCTTAATATTAATGATTTCTCTAAAGTTTTCAAACTGTTGAAGGCAAAAAGTGAGATAGAACTTTCACATGGGTAAGAAATGACCCAGGTGAAAAAAAAGCATGCATTATAAAAGCCATGGTGAAAATTCTGGAGTTGAATTATTTGTTGGAAGAGGTGGAGAAAATGTATCAACAGATTATTTTTTAAACAAGTTTTGTTTAATTGCTTCCAAACAAACATAGCTGGGAATTATTAGGAATGTGTCAATTCAAAATTACTTGAACAAATTMATGTGGATGCAATTTATGTCAGATTTCACTCTGAGTGTGGTTTCTGAAACCCAGTGTCTGCTAATGCTGAAGTTTTGAGATAACTACCCAACTTACATGCTGTTGTTCATCTTACCAGACAAACTGGAATTGTTAACAGCTCCTTCATGTTTTTCTTTTTAAAGTTGCRCTTCATAGGCAATATCCAAAGACACCAATCTGTGGGGTTTCTGAATGAGTAGTTCTAACATACCCATGGTTGCCTCTATGCACACTCATCATGCACCACTGCACAAATAAAAGCCCATCTCTGTCACTCTTAAAGGATGCTTTAAGCCCTCTAAGGATTTAATTTAGGATTTTAAAAATCYCTTTTCTGATAATCAGCAGGTAAGTGATAAAACAAATGCACAACAAATGATGTCATATTTTTTTGGTTTTGCAGTTTGTAAAGTAGTCACATTTCAGTTCCAGATATCAAAATGAATAATTGTTACACCAATCTTCTAAATGCAGGAAGATTCTTAAAGAGTTTCTAGTTGCTTACTGCTAAGATGGAAGCTCACTTCTAATGTCACATTTTTAAGGTCTCAGATAACATACGAAAATGTCCTGGATGTCCTGACATTTAAACAGCAAATCCCATGCCATCCTATGGTAGGAGAATTCCAGCCCTTTGCTTAATTTCAAATAATTCTCTGTGTTTGACCAGATGAATTACCTAGGTTTCTGAATACAAATGATTTATTCTGATRCTCTTTGTTGGCTAAACTGACCTTTCAATGCAAAAAATGGGACAAAATGAAAGTATTCATTAAGTTGGTGGCTTTGCATATTTCACATGCATTTTTTAAGATGATGTTACATATTTATCAGTTTGTCTTAGTCACAGACTTGTTGCTGTGAATGCTCTGTACATATGTGGATATCTGAGCTGCTTTGTAGGGGAGGTAAGGAAAAAAGGAAAAATCTAATATGAAATGGAGAGGGAATAAGTGAGATGAGGAGTTAGGAGTTGTATAGTTCCCATTTATGCACATGATTCTTTAGAGGTTRTAGGGTTTCCTTTCCCAGTGTAACTTGGTATGCACTGGGAGTTTTGATCAAATGTTGATGTTATGTAAAACCCAGCAGTTATTATTTTTCATCTTGAGATATGGGTTGAATAATCTTAAATTGTTCAGGGATTACAAACATCTTTGTCATCCTATCAGTTAATTCATTGTCTACATTGGTTTTAATTGTGTGTGAAAAAGACAATATTTGAATAAAACCATGCTTTCTGTTTTTGATGAAAAGTTGTGTTTCTGGAGTTTGTTTTAGATTTGTGCCCTGTGATATCCTGTTATGTAAGCCCACAACATAAAGACTTCATCAAGATTTGGAAATTTTGGGAAAAAT